CCAAGGCTGCCCTCCGCCTGGACCCTGCCTTCCTACACGGACTCATCTTGCCTTTTCAGCTCAGTCAGGTCATTGTCCTCCCTGCCTTTTCTCCACCTCAGTGGAGTTCCCCCTGCACCTGCTTGATGTCAGAAGGACCCTCGCTTCCTTCAAGTCCAGGCTGTTCATTTGCTATAGTGGACATGAAAAAGGAGACTGGTTTTTTTACGGAAGCTCTCCAACCACATCTCAAATGCCACCTGCCCGACTTGCAAGATGACAGGCCTCCACCACACTACACAACTGAAGGCCCACCATATGGGCACTGGCCAGATCCACAGCCCTCCTTGCTAAGGGATCCCCCTGCAGGACATCTGCAGAGCGGCCATGTGGTCCATGCCCACATCATTTATCAGATAGCCTTGCAAGGGGAGACTGCTTGTACAGGAGGGCAGTCCTCTCCTCCATCCTTCTGTGACAACAGCATCCCTCCATCCTTCACAGGGTAAGCTTGCCAGTCACCCATATGTGTGATGCACTGAGACGGTAATGAAGAAAGGCAGGTTGCTTACCTGTTGTTCTTCAAGTGGTCATCTGTGCATTCACACAACCTACCCTCCGCCCCACTTTCTGTCGTCTCCCTAGATAGTGCCCTTACTCTTCATGGAACCAGATTGGGTCGGTGTTTCTCTTCTCCATCCAGAGATCTGTGGTGGTCTCCACAGGAACTGTGGGGACAGGCAGGAGTAGGCGCAGGGGCTCCCACCCAAAATGGATGCTTAGCCATAGAAGCTTCCCGACAACAGACTTTGTGCAGGCGCAGAGTAGAATGGTTCTGGTTCTTTACCTCCGCGTGGCAATGCAATCTATATTTAAAGCAACAAAAGGCAAGTTAACCACAGAAGAATTGCGGGGCTGTCTCACCTTGAGAGGCGTCATCTCTCGCATGGACGCACATGGTTACAGTGTGCCTGGGTTCCTGAAGGCCTGAGACCCAGAAGAAAATGGAGAATGAAAAAGCATGATGGGACTGACCAGGCTGAGGAAACGGAGAGGTCTGCTTTAGTACGGTCACAACATGCAGGGAATCACATTTCGCAAGAGTGTGGTTTTTCATGAGCCTTCGATGTCTTAATACAGCCCCTGACACATCTTGTTAGGGAAACAGTTGATGGATTTCCGGATAAACAATGAAAAACCTGTTTCTTCCCCCTGTGTTGCCTAGAGAATGCAGATAATGAGAATATCCCCAAAGTTCTCCTTTGCTGAACCGGGAATTTTGAGTAATCCTTAATGTATTACTATCTTGTATAGTCTGTAATTCCGTTTATATCCCACTTCTTTCCTTCAAGGATCTCCGGGAAGCTTACATCACCCTCCTCCCCTTTTCATTTTTACAGTGCTGTGGGACGGGCCAGGCTGAAAGTGAGGGACCCCCAGTGAATGTCTTGGCCAAGTGGAGATCAGGACCCTGATTTCCTGAATCCCAGCACAACACGTTAAACTGGGATGGTGCCGATTGGTGACCTGCAGCAGCAGGGGTTGGATGCAGGGCCTTCTTGACCCCTTCTGACTCTCCTGCTCTATGGTTCTGTGGACTGCTAGGCCACAGGCGCTCTTTATCAGGGTGCCTGTAGGAGCATTGAGTCACTTCTGTGAGGCAGCCCTTTCTCTCTCTCTCTCTCTCTCTCTCTCTCTCTCTCTCTCTCTCTCTCTCTCTCTCTCTCTCTCTCTCTCAAAGCATTTCTTGAATATTTGGCTCTATAACTGTAATCTGGATGGATGTGTTCATACCTGTTATATAAGAGCAGGTAGGTATGACAGTGGCAGGTACAAATCAGTTTTCCTAGAGGGCAGTTAGGAATTTGAATGCAGCAGGCGAGGTGTGCCAGGGCCTGGGTTTGATCTCAGATCAAAATAGGGACTTGAGGTTTGCCTCTTTCAGTGACTGCCATTAAGCCACTGTTCTCCTAGTTTCTCTTGAAGTTATGGCCCTGCACACCATTTGCTCTGACCCACGTGTGCAGATAGCAAATACCCTGTGCCTTCGGAAAGCTGGCCTCCATCTTTGAGGGCCATCCTGTGCTCCACGCCAGGGTGTGGGGTGCTCGGATGTTACTTTGCCGCTCAGTAAGATGTTCTTACAGGTGGCTTGGTGGTGTAGCAGAGTTGACTGGTGCGTGTGTGTTTGATTATTTCTCGCATTTTGGGCTTGGCCTATTTTCCTCTAGGGAACCCAGAGTGGTCATCATCCTTCTCCATTTTCCATTCTTTCCTCACAACAACCCTGTGGAGGTAGGCTAGGCTGATAGTTAGTTGCTAGCCCAAAGTGGGGACTAGAACTTGGATTGCTTGAATCACAGTTCAGTGCCCGAACCACTACACCACACAGGTAGAACACCAATTTTCCATGCACAAGCTCAGTCCCCGGCAACTCTAGGAGAGGAAAGTCCTGAAGAGTCACCAGCAGTCAGTGAAGGACAGCTTTGTGCAGCCTGGTTTCCTGCAAGCATCATATTCTACGACTTGCAGTTCCCTGATGCGGAGTTGTGCTCCTGTGGTTGAAGGACAGGCTGGGGAAGAGTGGTGGTGTCAGGATCCACCATGGGATGGCTCTGCAGCATAGGAGCGCAGGCACAGATGTGTGTTCCTGTAGGCAAGTGAGAGAAGGGAGGCCTTTCTGAGCTTGACTGTCCACTCCAGGAAGACCCATCCGAATGGCCAGTGGGGAAGAGTGCTGGGAGTTGAAGTCCCAAAGAACCAGAGGTGCACCTTCTCCCCACCCCTGCTGTAGGAAATTCTGCTAAAGTGTTTAATGTTAGGACCTGCCCTGTTTCCTGTGTAAAAGAGCGGAACATCCTGTACCCAAACATCATTTGAATGCTTATGAAGTTGTCCAGACCCAGAGTTGACGGGCGTGGGTCTTGCCTGTGGACCCCCATGTGGCCATTCTTGCCCCATGCTTGTCCAGCCATGCTTCTAAAAACTTTCCAAGGAATAGTCATGGAACACTCAGCTCATTTTGTTATCAAGGTGTTCTTATGACTCTGAAAAACAGCTTGGAAATGTCCCTATCGCCCTTTATACTTTGCTCCATGACCTCCCTATTTGGCACACTGAAAATAATCCCTGTCCTTGGAACCACATGAGCAGGGTGCCCTTGCAATTTGGGGCAGGCGCTTCTTCCATACCGTGTCCAAGAAACCTTGCCTTTGGATTTTAAATGTCTAGCCTTACCAGCCTAGGCAGTTCAAAGTCAGGAAAACCTGAGTTGGATTTTCAGAAGCCCATATGAACTCCTCCATGGGTGGCAGAAGAGATATTGAGTGCTGGAAAACAGGAAGCAAAGGCAGTGGGTGAGCATAATTCTCATCCATGTCCAGAATTTAGGCTACCCCAATCCCTTTTCGGGATCTGGCAGCATTCTGAGAACATCTCATAGGGCTGTCCTGCCAAAAGGCACCCCTGGACCTGGCTCAGGCTTTCAGTTAAAACAGCCTTCCCCAGCCTTGTGCCTTCCAGACAATAGCCTTGCTGGATGGGAATTCTGGGAGATGCTTTCCAAATGCCTCTAAAGGCCACCAAGTTGGGGAAGGCTGGATTCATGAAGACTACAAGACTACTGCTCCCAGTATCCCCCACCATGTCAGGGTCCAGCTCCAGAGCAGCAGCAGGCTGTTTAGTCTTCAGTGGGCATCTGATTGGTCCAGCAGAGTATGGACACCTGTCCCATAGCAAGCAGACAAGGAGCAGAGCTTGTCAGCACGAGCAGGGTCGGCACACAGGGGAGTTTATCTCGGTCCATTTTCTCAGAGAAACTAGCAGAAGGAGTGAGCGAGCCTGCTGGTGCGTGACCTTGAACGCCGTTGTCATGGTTAAGAAAGCAAGCAGCCCTCTCCAGTGCAGGGCTACTGGAACGCAGGCAGGCAGGCGGATGGATGGGAGTGGCCTGAGTGTGTTACGCAGGGGAGGGGGAAGAGAGAAGCGCACTCTTTGGGGTAGGTTGCATGTAGAGGCTGAAATCCCCTCTTAATGCACTCATTAAGGGCTGTGTGTTGCAGACCCACCCTTCCCTTTAAGGTGTTGCCCAGGCTGAGACTTTGCTGGGAACCTCGTCTTCAGAGTTCTTCTTTTACCCTCTGCTCTTTGCTTCTGTAACTCTTTCTGTCTAAGACATTCCTCCATCTGAGCTGTGAGAAACTCTTCTCGTGCAGATTTTGTTTCAACTGAAAACCTGAATCGTGCGTTTGATCTGTGAACTGTAATGAGGGATTCCCATGGAAAATACCGCTTTGCTTTTCATAGATCTTGGATTTTTGTTTTCCTGTGGATTCTGTATCTTCTTCACTGATAACCCGAAGTGCATGCTGGCTTAGATTGTGGTTCTGGGACTTACCCATGCCTGGACCCGTGTAGTTTGGAGAAACCAAAGAGGAAGCTGCGGTCATTGATACCCGTGCGTAGAAGGTCCTCTTGAATGTGTGCCTTGCCCCTCAGGTTTGAGAAGCCTTGACCACAAGGTCAAGTTTGAGGTTCCAGCAATGTTGGCTTAAAATTCTCCCCATTTGTAGATTTACTTAAGTCTTTTTTGTCTTTGATTGCCTATAATGGCTTACCAGGAAAATCATTTGAGCCCCTCGCCCTGCATCATGGACCTTTTAGACTTTGCAACAAGGAAATCAACGAATCTGACACGAGCTATTAGCTTCCTGTATTAGGACGTACAATTTCTTGCCGTCACCTATATGATTTCCAGAGCATTAGGGCCATTAAGCTTTTCCCATGAGAGATGGAGGCTTGTCTATGAAACCTGGTTTACTTAGCAATAAAAGTTCTCAGTTCCTGACAGTTTATATGAGTGTGCCAAGAAGTAGGTGGGAGATGTTGGGAATTGTAGCCCAATGCCTCTTGGAGGGCACCAGTTTGGGCAGGCTGCTGTAATGTCACAGTTGCTCTTTTGTTCCCACCCCAAACTAAACAAAATAATGATTTCTGTTTATTTCCCCCTCCCCCTCTCTTAGACATCTTCAACTTTTTCTAAACTGAAGATGGAGATTAAGAAAAGCCGGCGCCACCCCTTGGGCAAGCCACCAACACGTTCCCCCTTGTCAGTGGTGAAACAGGAAGCCTCGAGCGATGAGGGTAAGTGACAGCGAGGGCCCAGGGTGGGCATGTCACTGATGGGCTTCAAAGGGCCTTGAGGAAGGCACCTGATGGGCAGAATTCCTGGCATCAAGAGACCTGACTGTCCGGGATTGGGAAGATGCTCTTAACTAGCCCACACATGAGGTGTCTTGTTTAAAAGACTGTGGATTCGTTTGCCCTTTGCGTGCTGAAATCCTGCTGTTCTCTTTAGAGAAGGTTGGTCCACTGTCCTGTCGCGAGCAGAGGAGCGTGATGAGGGGTGGAAGGAGTGGTCGGCCAAAAGAGCTGGAAGGCTGTATGTTGCTCACCTGTGGTTGGTCGTTGGCATTTGAGATGCTCTTAGGTGCATTGCAGATTGGGCTGGTCTCGCCGTCTGCTTTTGCCAGCATAAGTACAGTCTTATACATACTTGGTCAAGAGTAAGTCACATCGTGTGTAAAGGGGTTTGCTCCGATAGTTTGGCCTGAAGTTGGTTAGCTCCAAAGGTGCTCACTGATCTCCAGGACTGTCCATGGTTGGGGTTCTCCCGGGCCCTCTCCTCTGTGGTGCATCCACATCACAAAAGAGCAGGACACAAAGAATGCAGATCGATGCACCTCGCTCTTCTCAAAATCTAATTGCAGCTCCAGCCATAGCACAAAGGCTACAGCATTTATAATGCACTGCAGGCTGGGCAGTGGCTATCATTGAGATGCAGTTGCCATTAGGAAGAGTTGATCGGCGAGGTGCCGGCTGGAAGAGCCAAAAGCATAAAGAGCAAAGATCACCAGCAGGCAGCTCTTCCAAATGTGCCAAAGCATGTTAAGGTGAAAAATGGTCTCTTGTGGTGGATGGCCAAAGTCCGAAAGGGGTAGCGTTTTCTTCGGCCTGTGCACCACTTGAGGCTTTGGGCTGCGCCCACACAGGCCTTGCCTGCCTGCCTCCCAGGCCCGATTCAGGGTGTTGGTTATGACCTGTAAAGCCCTAAACGGCTTGGGACCTGGATACTTAAAGGAACGCTTGCATCCGTATATGCCCTCCCGCCCCCTGAGATCGGCAGCTGATGCCCTTCTCCGGGAACCATCTGTGAATGACATCAGGAGGGTGAGTACCCAGAGGAGGACCTTCTCGGCGGTGGCGCCCCATTTATGGAATGCACTCCGCAGGGAGGTCCGCCTGGCGCCGTCATTATTTGCTTTTCGGCGCCAGGCTAAGACCTTTTTATTTAAAACTTATTTTAATTGTTAATTTATTTATTTAACTAGGTTTTTTTTTAGCCGAGAATGCACTGAGGTTTCATTGAGGTTTTATTGAGGTTTTTGGTACTGGGAGGTTTATTGTATTGGGGGTTTTAATGTATGGTTGACTTTTTTTGATGTTGTGAGCCACCCTGAGGCTTATTGCAATGGGGCAGCCTAGAAATGTTATAAATAAATTTCTTCTTCATCTGCCACAGAGATCAGAAGCAAAAGGGGCTCCTTCTTGTTCATCCAGTTTACTACTTACTATGGAGGCACAAGCCTTGACGATATCTCTAGTTAGTAAGGCGGGGAGGCGGAAGAGAGCGCCGTCATGGATGCAAAAGGAGGCAGTTAGGGGGATTAGACGAAAGAGGAACCTCCGTAGGAAATGGGCACTGGGGCAAATAGACAAAAGGGTATACCGGGAGGAGGAGGCCCGTTGTAGAAGGATTCTTCACAAGGTTAAGGCTGATTACGAGCCGAGACTGGTCATGACTATCAAGAGCAACAAAAAGGGCTTCTTACAGCATGTAAATAGGAAGAGGAAGGGGAGACAAGTGGTGGGACCACTAAATAAGGAGGAAGGGGATCCAGTGACTGATATGAGGGAACAGGCACAGATGCTAAATGATGATTTTGCCTCTGTGTTCTCCCCAAAGCGGGATGGGGGATATCCGCATAGGAGATTAGATGAGGCTGGGGACTTAGGGGCACAGATTAGAGTCACCCCCCTTGAGGTCGAGGGGCTCCTCAGGGCATTGCGCATTACAAAGGCTCCAGGCCCTGACGGGTTACACCCAAGAGTACTTAGAGAGTTGGCAGGGGTTCTCTCACACCCGCTGGCCTCCATTTTTGAGGCCTCATGGAGAACAGGTGAAGTTCCAGAGGGCTGGAGGGTGGTATCAGTGGTCCCAATTTTCAAAAAGGGTAGTAGAAAGGACATGGAGAACTACAGACCAGGTAGCCTTATGTCCATTGTAGGACAAACAATGGAAATGCTCATAATAGAGGGAGATCTGGTGATGTTAGATAGGGAAGGGAGGCTGATGGCCACACAACACGGCTTCCGCAAAAACAGGTCCTGCCAGACAATCCTTGTGGAATTCTTTGACAAGGTTTCAAGATGGCTAGATGGAGGGGATGCAGTGGATGTGGTTTACCTGGATTTCAGCAAGGCCTTTGACAAAGTGCCCCATGATATCCTGGTGGAGACACTGAGGAGTTTTGGGATAGACCAAAGCACTGTCCGATGGATTAGCGCATGATTGACTGACCGAAAGCAGAGGGTAACCATTAGTGAGGAATCATCGGGATGGCAGCCAGTGACAAGCGGGGTCCCCCAGGGCTCTGTCCTGGGGCCGATCTTGTTTAATCTTTTCATCAATGACATGGAAGAAGGGGTGAACAGTCTGCTGATCAAATTCGCAGACGATACTAAAATTGGAGCAGTGGTCACAACTGAGGAGCAGGTACTCTACATCCAGAAGGATCTGGGCAGACTATGGAAGTGGGCAGGAGACAACAGGATGGCGTTCAATGTGGATAATTGCAAGGTCTTGCACTTGGGGCATTGGAATGGGTGTCAAAGTACAGGTTAGGGGACAAGTGGCTGGAGAAGCAGCACTTGTGAAAGGGACCTCGGGGTGCTAGTTGACTGCAGGCTGAACATGAGCCAGCCGTGTGATGAGGTGGTCAAGAGGGCGAACGCCACCCTTGGTTGCATAGCCAGAAGTGTGGCTTCTAGATCGAGAGAGGTATTACTACCACTCTGCATGACTGTGGTGCGCCCACCACTGGAGTATTGTGCTCAGTTTTGGGCCCCTCGTTACAGGAAGGAAATAGCCAGGTTAGAGTCAGTGCAGCGTAGGGCCACAAGGTTGGTGGCTGGTTTGCAGGGGATGCCGTATGAGGTGAAACTGAGGGAACTGGGTCTCTTCAGCCTGGAGAAGAGGAGACTTAGAGGGGATATGTTGGTGACATACAGGCATGTGAGGGGGTGTCACATGGAGATGGGTAGAGACCTGTTCTCCCCTTCAGAGGAGGGCAGGATGCGCTCCAACAGAGCCAAGCTCAGGGAACCCAGGTTCAATGATGCCAGGAAGCACTTCCTGACAGTGAGGACCCTAAGGATGTGGAATGGGCTTCCACGAGAGGTCGCTGAGGCCCCGTCGGTGAGGGTGTTCAAAGATAGGCTGGACATGCACATGGTGGGCATGTCGTGAGCGGAGCCAGCTGGAGCCAGGGGTCAGACTAGATGGCCCAGTTGGTCCCTTCTGACTCGCTCTGTTTTCTGTGTTTCTATGTGAGCTAAGGGTGGATAGCACCGCCTGATTCAGAGGCCAATTTCTAGCCCTTAGGGACTCTCCTGCACTCACTTTCCTGCTGCTAGGCTAGGAGATGATGGGAGTTACAGTCCAGCCCTTCTGGAGAGCACATGAAGGATCCCATCCGATACCTACTCTTGCTTCTCAAGCCCTGGGCGTACTCACTGCATTGCATTGCTGCTTGGCGCTTGGGGAACAGGCATCCCACAAAGCTGTCTGTCTGGTGCAAGGACTGATGACTAGTAGTTGCCATTGTGGAGGAATGGCTTCCTTTCTAACGTTTAGGAATCAAAAGTGGCCAGTTGGCTGATCCAGGCATAATTGGGCCAGAGGCCCAGGATGACAGAAACAGGTGACATCCTGGGTCATTTATCCTCAGTCCAGAGTGTTGAGGAATGACTTCCTCTGACTTAATACTATTTTTTTGCATGACATGTTGAAACTCACAAGATCTAGGGGCTTCTTTGGCTGTGTCTGTACATGATATCTTAGCACATTTGTCCTTGGTTACACAGTGCACACTCCCTTCCTCCCACTCACTGTTTCCTTTTTCCTTTGGGATTCTTTCCCCTTGCTTTTCCCTCCTCCTCTTTCCTCTGGATCATTTCCCTACCTGCTTTGCTTGTCCTGATGCCTTCCAGGTCCTCTGGCTCCCATAGTTCCCCATGTCTTTTACTTACCCCCAGTTCTGGGGCTGATTTGCTTTCCTGCCTCCCTTGAGAATCGAAGCAGCTGATCCTCCATGCCTCTCCTTGACATCACAGGATAGATTAACAGCCAGAAAGTGGCTTTTTTATTCTTTTGCAGAACCTGTGCAAGGCATCAAAGTCCTGTGTGCTGACAGCTCTCCCTCCAACAATTAGAGCAGCCAGAAACATTGATTGCATCATGGCACCTCCACAATCCATTGTTTTGATGCAGGCGGGACAGCTGGCAGATTTTTTTTTTAAAAAACCCTTCTTTCTGCATTGTGTGACGGCTTCATTTCTGCTTGCCAGCGTGCCTGATCCAGCACGTGAGGCCCCTCCTCCCACCTTGAGGGGGCCCATCTTTGCTGCAAAGCCTGTCGTTCCTCGCAGGCACGCGTTGCAGAGCTGTCGAGCCTGGTCAGATCAAACCCTGACTTTTCCTGCTCCCTGTCAAGGAAAGACTAGCCGTCCAGCATCGAGTGTCTCTTGCAGGTGTTAACAAGAGTGCGCCCGTGGGGCTGAAAGCTGGGAGGGGAGAGGCCTGCATGTTTGTAAAGTGCTCAGGGCACAGACCCTTCTGTCTCTGACTGATCGGCACTAGTCGTGCACCGGCTCCCTTCATTTAACCGTGTGTGTCTCCTTGGCTTGGAGGAGCTCCTGGGCTCCCTGATCTGTGCTTTGAATAGATCCTGGGTAGGGTTGTAGTGACAAAGAGGAGGCCGGGTCCACTTGGGACACATTGAAGGGTCACTGCCCTCCCGCCTTGGGTGTCTCGGGACAGCATTTGAATTGGGCCATTTTGGGTCCACTACCTCTGATAGGTCCTTCTGTTGCAGTGGCATGGTTAGCTTTTAATTTAATCTCCTTGTTTGTTTGTCTTTTTAAGCTACCTTGAAGGTCCAGGCAGATCCAGAAACATAGCCATTGTAATTTTGTTAGGTTAATTGGGTGGCACACCAGTCACAAGATTACTTCTGTCCCTCTTCCTCTGTCGCATAATAATTGTCTCAGCCTTGACTTCTCTTTAATGTCTCAGCTGGTTGGCTTTAAGAACCTTCCAAAGGGCACACAAAATATTCCCAGCCATTTTCCCCGCTTGCCCGTGTGTCTGACCTGGACCTCTCTGTCTGTTCCTCAGAAACCCTCCCATTTTCCAGCGAGGAGGATGTTGGTGATCCAGAGCCCCTGAAGTCCTTGCTTTCCCTCCAGTGGAAAAACAAAGCACCCAACTTTGCCGCCGAGAGGAGATTCAACGCTGCCGCTGCCCTGAGCGAGCCGTACTGCGCCATCTGCACTCTCTTCTACCCCTACAGTCAGGTAAGCTGGCAGCAAAGGGACATCCAGGGCAATGCCTGACGATCCTTCACGGAGTGAGCAATGCCTTGACAAACCCCGCCTTCCCTTGGCAGAGCGCCCACTGTGGGGTCGGGGGGGGGAGAATTTAAATAATGATGATAATAGGGCTCTGACCGCCCCTGAATTTGTGGGGTGGAGAATGGCTCGCACAGGGATAGGGGCCCTTTGGCCTTCCTGATGCTGTGGGACTACACTCTTATCATTCCCATCCATTGGCCATGCTGGTTGGGGCTGATGGAGTCTGGCAGCATTTGGAGCACCACGAGCTTGGCACCCTTCGGTTAAACGCGACGTGGGCAGTCGGTTTGGTCCAGGGCCAGATGGTGTGGGGGCTGAGGCCCCGTCCCAAAGCCCCTCCATATGCTGTACAGTGGAGGTGAGCAACTTGTGTCCCTGCTGTCGCTTGGGCTTATGGCTCGGACTGATGGCCCAAGCATGCGAGGGCCTGTCTGTTGCCCACCCCTGTGCTAGAGGACGAGCGGCTCTTCTGTCTGTGTCGGTACATGATGCACCAGCCAGTCCCTGTCTGGCCTGAGCAAAGCCATCGCTGCTGCATGGGCAGGAGCACGCTTGCTTCCTCACTGGCCTTTTGGGCTACCACCTCAGTGGGGCTTGTGGGCAGCTTTGCCACTCGAGTGTGATCTCGGAGGCAGCAAGCCAGATTAGCATGAAAGGTTGCCAGGGTGGAGCGTTTGGTCACGGCTCGGGTTGGTCTATCACGTACTCCTCCGTCATACCTCATTGCTTTCTCCCTCCCATCCAATCCCATCTTCAGTGTTTCTCCCCCAGCTGTCAGACAGTAGTTTGTGGCCATGGAGCAATCAACTCCTCACTGGTCTGGGTTGGTTCCCTCCACTTGAGGGGTTTTTCTCCCAGTGGATGTTTTCCCTCCTGCAAACCTTGGAGTCATTCCATGTTGCTGATGCCCCTGCATTGGCAAGAGCAACACTCCCCACCCAGGCATCAAAACTGATGGGGTTGCCCTGCGGAGTACGTCTGGATCTGCACATGCTGAGCAGTAAGCTAGCAGAATGCCCCTTCCCATTTTGGTCTCCTCCTCCTGACAAACAATAATCCACAGCTCAGCATAACAAAGAAGATAGACTCAGACAGGAATGATCTAATCCAGACGTTCTGCTCTCATGCTGCTTTTCTATTTGCAAGCCATTTTTGGTGAGGAGAATTAAAATGCAATCTACAAAATCTGAAATGGACCGGTCCATTCCATGTGTAGCGCCAGGGTGGATGATTAGTGCTCTTCCGGACATTCTGCTCTGCACCTCCCAGCAGCCCCCACCTTGGAGGAGACTGTTTGAGGAGGGAAATCTCACAGGATGGTCCCACAGCTCTGTCCACAGCAGCCCCTGTTGCTGGTAGCAGCCTCATGCTGGCCAGTGCCTCTGTGAGCCTCCGTGGAGCAGCCTGTGGAGCCATGCAAGAGCTTCTGTGATCCTAGTTGCACGTTCATAAGTCTAGGCTAGTCTGTGCAGGCACATGAAAAAACTTAAGAATGGTACCCAATTAGATGATTATGCGGAGCTTGTGCAGTGTGGTGGAAAGCAGCAACCAGCAGGCTGGAATGCAGCACTCCTTTCCCGAGATTAATTTCAGTTTAATTTCCTCCTCATCAGAGTAAATAAGAGATAATATTTATGTGTGTTTTCTGGGCACAGTCTAGGCTGCTTTGATTATGAGGGGATGCTGGTGGGATTTCAAGTCCTGGCAACTTCTGCTGAGGGGGTGTATGTGTGCAATTTTTTTCTTGGCAACAGTTGCCAAGTGTTAAGCACAATGCACTGCATCAAATCATCACTACCTTTTGCTTCAAAGGTACATTAGAAATCAGATCATGTAGAACTGGCCTCAGCTAAAACACTGTGCAAGACACTCATGGTTCCTGGGGTGGCATTTCCGAACAGATCAGATGTGCTGTTAGCCTTACAGCATGTCCATCCCAGCTGTGAGCCACCTTCTGCCCTCCAGGACTGCAAGCCCTGTTGGCCGTGCTTGATAGGTGTCTACCCCAGTGCTCGGTTTCCATTTGTGTGCAGCCATTTGTCCCTGGAAGCCCGCAGGAAGTTCTTAGGTTACCTTGAGATCCCCTGCAGTTTGTGGGTCCTTAATGGCCTGCCTGCAGAGATGCTGCAACTCATCTTGTTGGGGTGCTGCTCTGCGTACTGACCCCTATCCAGTTCCCTTGTGTAAAGGGAGAGGGCCCTCTGTCTCCTTTACATGTGTGCTCATGGGATAACGGGCTTGTCAGGCTTCATTGGTATGTGAGAGATGGTTTCTCTCCTCCTGCATCCACATCCGTTCTTCTTGTCGTCCCTGGCAGTCCCTGGAAAAGCGGAAATTTTCAGAGCCAGAGGTGCCAGCTTTGAAATGATCTGCAAGTCTGCTAAGGCTGGTGAAATTTGTATCGAGTTAAACCCCAGAACTTCAGCCCCATGGGTGTGACTCCCTGGCATAGCTGAGAAGGGGGTACCTGAAGGCCAAACCAGCCTGGTGTGGAACTCCGTGCCCTTTGCCTTTTTTCCTGCAGTGCATTTCCAGATCAAGAAGGGGAAGCAGCAAGGAGGGAGGCCTCCGAGTGCTAAGCAAGGCCCAGAAATGGTTGTGCCTTCCCTGGATCGGGTCTGCCACTGTCGGTCGAGCACATTTCCCTATCCTTGCATGAGGCTACTGTATAATGAATTCTGAGGACACCGGTTTATTCCCCACCCTGGTTTTGCTACCAGAAGCCTTGAAGTGCCCTTCTAGAGAGACAGTCTCACTGAAGGAGTAGGGGAGGGTGCCAAGGAGGCAGGGGGGCAGAGTTTTGCTGCCAGTCCCTCTTCTCTGCCTCCCCATCTTACTTCAAGAGTGGTAGCTGCATTTAGATTATCTATATCCTTGCAGGAAGGGAAAACCAACTCCGCGTACAACAGATGCTGCTCATGAGTTTGTGGTGCTGTTAAGGGATCAGCAGCAGGTGCTTATTAGAGGACCCCCCCCCCACACACACACACACACTTCTCTCAAGGGCATAATGCCAGTGCTGCCCCAGTCAAACTTCCTTGCCCCTTGTGAGTTGCTCTAAGCAGCCACTTCCCCTCTGGCTCTGATTGTCTGAAATGACTGGGGAGCTGCACGCAGGCACTGAAAGAGGGGCCAGAACCTGCCCGTGCCAAGCACCTTCTTACCAGCAGCAGCAAGGAAGGGAAGGGGCCAGCTTGCCCAAGGGGATGAGGCAGGGTTTCCAGGCTGCAAAGCCATAGCTGGGACCTGATGGCTGTTCCAGGCAGAGGACCCGACAGGGTGGGACTGGGCACCCCTGATACAGAAATCTAACAAATAGATTTCTGTATCACTTACCATAGTTTTAAACAGTGTTTTGCAAGGTTAATATACATCATTGCTGAACCATTTACATATCACATTGATTAAATGCACTAAGCCCAGTACTCACAACATCATAATCAATAGCAACAAAAACAGGACCAGAAACTCCCTCAGAGAAGGCTTGGTCAAAGCGATGGCTGTTTAACTGGTTCCCGAAGCACACAACAGTTGATGCCTCTGGAATGGGGAGAGGGGTGTTTCATAAGGTGGGCACCCTGTGGAGGATCCCTGCTCCTGGGTCTCTGCAAATGGGAATCTTCAGGTCATGGTAGGGATCTTTGTGATTGCCCCGATCTGCACGGCGGACCCAGTCCTCCAGGTAATCCATTGCCAAGCTCCACGTGTGCCATTAAAGACAAGCTTCCCATTTCCAGAACCCTGTTAGGGAGCAGCTCTGCTTTGGCCCCTTTTCAGATACGAGTGGGGTCTCCCCCACTGCCATTAGTCGCTTGGTTGGTGCCTTCCCGTTCTTCATTTCCTCCCCACATCTTGCTTTTCTCTCCCCTTCCTCCACACTAGGATTGAAAGCCCTGAGTGTGCTGGGTCATTTTTTTAGCAGCACTGGGCATTCTAGAATTAAATAACTGTACTTAAGTAATGGAGGTTTCACAAGTCTGGCCAAATTGCTGTCTCCTTCAGAGGGCATCCAGCTTCCCCAGCTGCCCCTCCGCTTCCCTCCCCCTTGCCCCCCCCCCCCGCATGCCAACCCACACCTGTGACATGCTCCTCTCTAGCCTGAAGGAGCACATGCTACGTGGGCCTTTTGGTGATCCCCCAGGTTGGGGGAACCTGCCAGCAGTGGCTGTTCCACATCCCCTCCCCATGGGTGGCCTGTGCCCACAGGCACCCCCACTTCAGCCTTCCCCACGCTAGCACTGTCTGGGCCAGCTAGACTGCAACCCTGTCATCCCCACCAATCAGGGTCCCTGGGGACGTTGGGGCTGCCAGGCCAAGAAACCTCAGAGGATTAAGAATTCCATATCAAGCTGACAGTTGAAACGGCATGCATGTTCCTGTGCTTTCTTATTTGCGGTTTTATGACACAACTGCCAGGTTTCAGTGTCTGCAACTCAGTGGGCCTCCCAGTTTATAGCCAGAAAACGCTCCTTGGAAAGGTTCGGAAGCCTTGTCATTCTGTGGAATGTGAGAGGCATCTGCCTTTCTCTGTTCCAGGAAGGTGGGGGCTGGGGGGCAGGCTGTTCCTGCCTGGGCTGCTGGCTCAAGCTCACAGTCCCCTGGTCGTTTTAACATAGCACCAAAGTCTGTGGGGGCAGCTCCAAGCCTTTCATTAGGATCCCTTCTGTAGTCGCAGAAGCATTCAGGGTCAGCTTCAGTCCCCTACCTTGGTGTGGAGTGTTGGAGGAGTTTGGTCCTTAAGAGGTGTTCCAGTCCTCTACTTTGATGTGGGGCTGTTTTAAGAACTTACAACAAATGCCACCCACTGTGTAATTTCTGGCGACTGTGGCATTAAACATGCTGTAATGAAGGGATCTCACTGATTTGGCCTTCCATCTGTCAGAGTGCTAGAATTTGAAATTGCAGGACCATGGCCCTGGCAGTAACAGGAAACCATGGCTGCTCATGGAGTTAGTCGTGCCCAGACATGAACTTCCCTAGGACTTCTCCTTCACAGCCATGAGGAGGAGATCAGACGCTTCCGCTTCTAAGCAAAGCACACGTCCTAGTTAACAGTCAGCACTGGGATTTGTGTAAACTCGAGTTAATGAGCAAACCAGGGATTAAGTTCACAGCTTGATCCTGCCTTGTTTTCTTTAACCACAGTTCTTGCGTCTGGAGCTCATGTGGAAACTGTGGCTTGTTTAAAGTAAAACGGAAGTGTCCCCAATCTTCTTGCAGCCGTGAAACAGAAGGAGAAGGGAGGCTTGGGCAAGAGGAGAGCTCATGGCAACTCATTAATGTGGGGGCCAAGCCATGGGCTCCTCCTCCATCTGAGGCTGGCCTTGGAGCACTTATGCAAGGAATGGGGCAGATGACAAAAATTAAGCAAAGCAATTTCTTTTCTTTTTTGGTGGTGTCAGAGTATCCAGGATTCATATACGATCTTCTGTCTCTCCAGCCTTGCTTTATAAGGGAGTGATTTTGTGTGTGTTTTTCTCCTTCGAATCCTTGCAGATGGAAAAAGATACAGCCTCTCTGCCTCCTGGGGAAGCTGCCTCAGCCCAGCCCCCTTTCAAAAGCGGGCAGAAGACCAAGCCACTGATCCCAGAAATGTGCTTCACCTCGAGTGGCGAAAACACAGAGCCCCTCCCTGCCAACTCTTACATTGGGGAGGATGGCACCAGCCTCTTGATATCGTGTGCCAAGTGCTGCCTGCAGGTTCATGCCAGTAAGTGTGTGCTGGGACCGCATGCTGCAGTTGCTTGTTTGCTTGCCTCGCTTCTCTGCAGCTCAGGACCTCTGCCCAGACTGCCTCCAGTTCTTCTCCTCAGGCCTTCAGGAAGCCTCAGGGCATCACCCCTCCATCTACTCTTTTTGAACCAGGACCGACACCAGAATTAGGCCACAAGTGGCTTAGAAGGAACAGCCTCCTAAGAGCGTCCCTGGGAGGAATGGAAACACCCGCAGGGGCCCCACATGCCAGAGATTCTCAGGCCCCCCCCCCCCCGCCCCCAAGCTGATCTGCAGGTCAGAGTGTGTGGCCCCCTAGCCCAGGGCTACAGAACCTTTTTTAACCCAAAGACCAAATTGCGTTTTAGTCGGGTAGGGGACCAGAATGCCAGCATGATGCAGCTTGGAGCTTTCCGGGCCAGGAACTCAACTTTTGGAGGTGCTTCAAGCCTGATGAGGATGTGGTCGTCCTGCAAGTCCCAGGAGGGCAAGCTGGCGCCCAGTGGCTCAGACATGGCCCCTAGGTCTGAGGTTCTGCATGGTTCTGCATGGTCTGAGGTGTTGCCTCTTTGGGCGAGCAACATCTCTCCAGGGCTTCTGGCAGAATGAGGGCCTCGTAGTGACAGGCTGTACTTGACAGCTGCAACATGAGATGCTGTGGAATGAACCTCATGGAGCTACGGTCACTCTACCATCTCCTCCCTAAAACTTGTAGTTTATTGGGTTTTTCTTTGACTCTTCGCTTTTTAACTGTGTTCTCCACCTTTCTGGCATCCTGGTCAACATGCATCATCCATGTGCTCACTGCTCTTCGGCACGCATTCTGTTCAGTTATTTTTAACTCTCCTCCCTGCATCCCTGGTCAGTCTTCTCTGGCTGGCTGGCTGGCAGTGAAAGTGGGCAGCCTCTCGCCTGCTTTATTTCCTGTTCTTTGGGAGCAACAGAGCTACTGAGATGTTGATCGATAACATGCCAGTGCACAGCTCTCCCTTGAATTGCAAATCCATTATAGACTGAGAAGCCCTGCTGGGGCTGAGGGGACATCCATCTCCAGTGATGCTGCTGCTTAGACCAGTTTGTGTTCAAACAGCCGCTTGCAAGCTTTGAAGTTTTGCAGGGTTCGGAATGCTGGTCCAGTTTTCTCTTGTCCTGTTTCTCATCAGCTGTTTTTGTGGGCTACAGGGGGGTGTTGGGGTTTCATGAAGTGAACTTTTCCTTATCTGTGTTTTGTCCCTAGGCTGGAGTGGCAAAAAAAGTAGGAAAGTTAGTCTGGTTCGAGGGGGAAAACAAGAATTTGTGTAGGAGCATGGGATCTGACTTTTCTCTAGGTCAGTTGCTCCCCTCCAATTTTCAGAGCCTCTTCCAGCATGGGCAATGGCTAGGGCTGATGGAAGTCGTAGTCCAACAACATCTGAAGACCCGGAGATCACCCCTGCCCAAAGTCCACCAGCCTGAAATGCTTAATGCAACACACGGAAGATCCTGCCTTTCAGCATGACCTGCTTGGGGCCACTGTTAACTATGACAGCAGAAAGAAAATTTGAAGCAAAATTCTCTCCACTGAACACACACACTTTCTTAAAAGGTTGCAGAAGGCTGCCTTATATGGGACCATCTGCTCCAGTTTTCCCCTGCATTCCATGGCAGCCATGCTCTGAGACACCAGATAACAACTCGTGTTTCCAGTCTGCTGGGAACTGCTAATGATCCAGCTGCAGACTTTCTGCTTGCCCAGGATGTTCTCTAACTGTAATCATACAGCTGTTTCCAGATAAAGTGGAAAGACTTTCCAGATAAAGTTACCTTGTTTATGATAACTTGCACCAAATTAAGACATTGGCCCATAAGTCACACTGGAACTTTTTGGACAAAGGAGAAGTAAGTGGGTGGAGAGATCAGGGTCTCGTTGCAACTCAGGAAGGCTGCCTTCAGACATTGAGAGAGCAGTCCTGGGGATCTGGGTGTGTACCCCAGGGACTACCCCAGGGTGGCTTGGGCAACCCCTGTTGGGGACAGATTAGACCCTCCGCCTGTTTGCAGCTGGCCTGGAGAGAATCATATCAGCTGCCTCTCTGAGCTCAGAATATTGGCCTTGGAGAGGAGGAAGGGCCAGGCCACGGGGGAGGGTGGCTGAAGAACGTACAGATCCTCTGCCAGCCTCTTTCCTTCCCCCTCCAAAATGTCCTTGGGAGGCAGGCTGACCTGTCTCTCTAGTGGAAATAGGGCAGTGGAGGATGGGGACGCCAGGATTGCCTCTGCTGCCCCCCCCCCCCCCCCCGGTCCAGCTTCAGCCCAGCATCTCATGGGAATTTTGAAAGCTGAGTCACAGGCCCAACTGGTTAACCATGAGGAGACCCTCCCAACTTTTGCACTTCCACTCAGGAAGGAAGATGAAGGTGGGAGTAGGAGTGCAGGATTTGTTTAAACAGGCACAGACATAACTCTGGGTTCTGAACACGATCAGGGTGCGGCCTGGTCTATCCTACCAGGGTTCCCCTTTCCCCCCTGGACTTAGCAGTACCCCTGAAAGAAGAAAGCCGCAGTGCAGAGCAGCCCAGCCAGAAAATAACTGAGAGGAATCCAGAGGAGTCTGCCTCTTTCCGAGCTTGATTTGGAAACTTCCCCTCCAAAAGAGCAAAGGACGTTTTCCTGTCAGATACCAGTGCTTTCCTTGGTGCAGTGTTCCTGTTACAGATTGGGCTCCTGGCAGGACAGTATCTATTAGAAGGTAGTCCATTATTTTATTGGGTACTTTTTCCTCTGACACATCTATTACAGGCTGGCCTCCTCTGAAGGTTTTGGCCTGAGCAGAATGGCTAATTTGGAAGGCTGGGAAGGTCTAGGAAGGGCAAGCAGAAAAGTTTCTGAAATTATTTTCTCTCAGCAGTAGCTTCTCCTCAGCATGGCCTTTTAAGAACCTTTTTCTCAAATGAAGCCTAATTTCGTGGATTCTCAAGGGAGGTGGAGTACACCAGCTTGTGTGGGGGATAGAATGGAGTCTCTTGAAAGGGGGCATGACTGGCTGCAACCATGCTGTTGGTTGCAAGCCTCATTTCCCCTCCGAGTTCTGTAACTGTGTTCAGAGTGCAAGTATAAAATGCAGCTATTCAGCAAAGCAAAACCAATGAAAATCTAGGATTTAAGAGCCTGGAAACCACACTGCTTGTTAAAGTGCATCTCTGTCTTTTCTTTCTTCTTCTTGTGTGCTGTTACACCTTTATGAAAATGAGTATTTTCTTTTGAGGGATAACTTCCTTGCTCCACACATGTGGAATTCTCTCTTTCCTGCAGTCATAAAGCAACAAATCTTGCAACCCCTTTGCATACCTTTTGGGCTCCATAAATATTTCAGTTAAGGACAGCCTTCCATTTTGGGTTTTCTGATTGGCTTTCCAGAGGAATGGCAGCCAAGTTCTTTTTCTTGTTTCTCTTTTTCCCTTTTCAGACCAGGTCTGAATGGACTATTCCGGCCAGCCTGCTCTCTCCCTCCTCTTCCTCCTTTTTTTTTTTTTTTTTTGGGTGAGGGAAGACCTGAAGACAGTTTCAAAACAAGCGCTTTTCGGTTCCTGAGAGAGTCGTGGGAGTGAGAGGTGGGCAGTTTGGATGAGCTTACCTTGCACCTTTCTCAGTGTGATGCTTCCTGCTTTGTTCTAGGTTGCTATGGGATACATCCTGACCTTGTGAGTGATGGGTGGACCTGTTCCCGGTGTTCGGCCAATGCACTTCTAGCGGTGAGTTAGCACTCGCTCTTGCAGGCCACAGAAGCTGAAGATGCTGGGGAAGAGGTGCTCGCCAATGGCAGTGAAGATGGGGCACTCCATTCATGGAACACTCTCCCGAGGGAAATTCCCCCAGTTCCACCCTTCCTTTACCCCAGGCATCCTAGGATCAGGATTTAGATTTTATTTATTACTTCCAAGATTTATATGCAGCTCTGCATTCTAGTATGGAAAATTTAAAGTAGTCAAGATTAAAAAGTAAAACATTATGTTAAAAACACAATCAATGGAGCTACGGTTGGTTATTTTAGGAAGAGCACTTCCCATGCGTATGTAAGGAACATATGGAATGCACTCCCCAGAGAGGTCCGCCTGGCGCTGTCATTATTTGTTTTTTGGCGCCAGGTTAAGACCTTTTTATTCCAGCAATATTTCAATAAGTTTTTGTATTGTCTTTTCTATGTTTTTAACTGCAGCCAGTGTGGGTCGGGAATATATTTCTGTCATATTTTTGTAAGCCGTCCTGAGACTTTTGCGACAGGACGGCATATAAAAATCTTAAATAAATAATAAATAAAATAAGGGTGCAGCACATGGAAAATCTTGTGGACAATACAAGCACGTTCCTAGTGACTGATGTTATTTCAAAAGACATATTTGACTATTGATTTAATGTGTACCTTGCCTTTCTACCACAGAGATTCCATGTGAGGCAGCTTTTGTTGTTGTTGTTAGTCGCGAAGTGTCCGACCCATCGTGACCCCATGGACAACATTCTTCCAGGCCTTCCTGTCCTCCACCATCCCCGGGAGTCCACTTAAGCTCATGCCAACTGCTTCCGTGACTCCATCCAGCCACCTCATTCTCTGCCGCCCCCTCCTTCTCTTGCCATCTATTGTTCCCAGCATTAGGCTCTTCTCCAGGGAGTCCTTCCTTCTCATTAGGTGGCCAGAGTGTTTCAGTTTCACCTTCAGGGTCTGGCCTTTTAAAGAGCAGTCAGGGTTGATCTCCTCTAGGACTGACCGGTTTGATCGCCTTGCGGTCCAGGGGACTCGCAGGAGTCTCCTCCAGCACCACAATTCAAAGATGGAATTCTTCGGTGCTCAGCCTTCCTTATGGTCCAGCTTTCACAGCCATACATTGCAACTGGGAAAACCATAGCCTTGACTACACACACTTGTGTTGGCAGGGTGATGTCTCTGCTTTTTAGTATGCTGTCTAGATTTGCCATAGCTTTCCTCCCCAGGAGCGTCTTTTAATTTCTTCTTTCAGTCCCCATCTGTGGTGATCTTGGAGCCCAGGAAAATAAAAACTGTCACTACCTCCATTTCTTCCCCATCTATTTGCCAGGAGGTGAGAGGACCGGATGCCATGATCTTAGTGAGGCAGCTTAGTATCACAGATAAAGAAAAACTTGATTAAAATAGTAAGAAAACATGTACATTTAAAAATGAAATCAAATTTTTAAAAATGGGCAGAAGCTTTGCCTAACTTCAAACTTACTTTCATGAGGAATAGAAATATGCTTGTGGTAAAAAAGATTTTTCAGCTGTTGCACCCTTACCTAATCTCTCTTCTCCCTCCTCCCTCCCACCCTCTCTCTTTCACACACACACATACATACTTATTCTTCCCATCAAGGCATTTATGGCTCGCCATCAAGTATATGCTTTTTTCTATTTGTCTTAATGTCGTTTAACCTTTGCCTCCTTGTTATCTCCAGGACTGCTGTCTGTGTAATCTCAGGGGAGGAGCCCTTCAAAAGACCACAGATGGAAGGTAAATTGGGTACCAAAGACATTAATTTGTGTACATTGCAATTTCTGAAATACCAAAGCATTCTGCGAGGAGGCCTGCCCCTGTTCAAAAGTGGGGGGCAGTTCCTTCCAAAAGGATGGAGAAGTCCTGGAAATGTCCCCCCCCCCCCCCGCCCTGGAAGGAGACAGACTTGCAGTGTGGTTCCTTCAAGTGCATCATGTGCAATTGTCTCACTTTGACTGTGACCAGAGGATTTGGTTTACCCGTACAAGAAGATCCTGGAAAGCCCCTTGCTTTGACCATCTTGCAGAATGGGCTTTGCATGCATTTCACATTTGTGAAGTCTGCTGGGTGCTGCACGAGACCTTAATCTGCTCAGTTTCTTCTCTTGTAATATCTTCTTAACACTTCAGGGAGATTTTCACACCTAAACCTAATCTTGTTTTTTGTGTTTTAGTTTCAAATGGGTACATTGTGGCATGGCCACGGCCAAGGCCTTGCCGTTAAAGGGCAGCCTTTGCCTTTCCTTACTGGTGGAGGGGTAAGCCCCCACCCCACCCAAAAGCCACTCTTCAGACTCCTCCCAAACCTTTGAGAGAGAAATGGAAAGGGCACATCTCAAGGGTGAGCTTGACAAAGTGAGATGCCGAGGGAGTAAGCCTTGAGATTACCCCAGTGGATCATTTCTGCACAAGCTGTCCTAGTTCAACAGGAGCATCACCAAAAGGTGCCTGACAACAGTTGGAGCCTCAGTCCACCTGGCTCAGCACTGTGGACGTGAGCCGGCGGCAGCAGCTCCCCAGGGCTACCAGCAGGAGTCTTCCAGCCTTCCTGGAGATGCCGATCGAACCCGGCACCTCCTGTGTGCAATGCAGGCTCTGCTGCTGAACATCGCCCCCGCCCTGGTCCCCCCAGAGTTGCCGCTGCCACTGCCACTCTTCACCAGTGACTGGCACTTGCTGGGCCTGTGGACCGCCACCGCTGCTCACGTTGGCTGCCCTGCCTCCTGCACGGAGGCTCCTCAGCCTCAGTCAGCCCCTCACAACTGCCTTCTGGGGAGACACCTCCTGCTCGCATTTCCTCCCAGGACAGCAGGTGCAGGTGGTGTGGTGCTTTCATTCTGTGAAAACCTCATCCTGGCCAACTGTGAGGAAGAAGTGGGGAAATGGAACTGTAGCCCCCCTGTCCTCCCTTGTCAGGGCTCCATTGGCTGCTCTCATTGCTGGACACAGCCGCATCCTCCCTCTTCGTGTTTAGACCTTTCAGCGCAGCCACTTTGCCTTTGCATCCTGCTTCAAAGGAGGGCAGTGAGCTGGAAAAACTGGGCTGCATAATGAGACCTGAGGAGAGTGCCCAAGTTTCAGCCCAGAAGAAGCGGCTGAGCTCCCCGTGACCTGTGCAAGTACCAGCTTCTCCTCAGTTGAGGCAAGAGAGCGTATGGGGGAAGGCAGGCCACTTGCTTTCCTGGTGCTGCGTGTGAGTGACAGCAGGCAGGGCAAACCAGGCGTGCAGCATTAATGGATTGAGCCAATCGATTAAACCTCCCTGGATCAATGAACAGAGGGGGTCCTTGAATAATCAGGCATTGCCCCTTTGCTGGAAATCTCTGTCATGTGCCCTTCCAGTGCTGCGTTGAGGCAGGCCACAGCAGTAGCTCTCCAGCGGCACTGTCCTGCAGTTGGTCCCCTTAGCTGGACGTCTGCAGTGGCACCAGCAAAGCAGACCAGTGTCTAGGCAGACTGTTTGGCTTTTTTGATGCAATAAGTTGTTGTATGAAAAGTGTGTCCATCTTCAGTTTACACACCTGCATATTGAACTGCTTACTCAGTGAAGGCCCGAATAAAACCCCCACGAAGCTGCACTGTAACTTCCTTCTGAGGGACTGTCTTCCCTTTTACCTCTCTGGGCATCGCCTCAAGCGGTCAGGCAGAAGGAAGATCTCTAGGTGTCTCCCACTTCCCCTCCTGGAAGCTTCAGCCAACATGGCCAGAAGCACTCGGAGTCGAAGCCCCTTGTCCTCCCGCGGACTTGCACAGCCCAGCCGCAGGAGCACCGTGGCAAAGACGCACTTGCCAGCCTCTACAGTGTTTGCAGTCCAAGGGAGGGGAGCATCTTCTCAGTTTTCCCATCTTGGGTGCTTTGCAGGTGGGTCCACGTAATCTGCGCGATTGCAGTCCCAGAGGCCCGTTTCCTCAACGTCATTGAACGTCACCCTGTAGACATCACTGCCATTCTGGAGCAGCGGTGGAAACTGGTAAGAGCCCCTCGGGATGAGTGCAAGACGAGGTGCGTGCGTGACAAATGACATGGGCGTTCATGTGCCTAGACTTGGAGAAAAGGGGGAGGCTGCACTTCGCTTTCAGGGAGGTCTGCCCTCCCTCTCTTGGGCCAGTGGGGCTCTGGTCCTTGCCATTCAGGTGAAAAGCACTCATTATTCAGCCTGGAGTGACTGCATTGCATTGATGCACAAGCGATAAATGGCACAGAGTCAGCTCCTTTATGGATAACCTGACATTTCCTGCTTGCCCTCCTCTTCATTACCCGTGCTTCTAACAGCAAATTAAAAATCCTTTTTTTACATGGAACTTGCTTGTTCTGCTTAATGGGCCTCCCTGGAGGAACTTGTTCAGTCTCCTGCAGCTGCTGATAAGGCTTTGCTGCTTGTCCTGTCCCCGGGGAAAGTGGTGGTCTCCCTTTCAGCAGGCTTTGCTGAGATTCTGTTTTGCCCCCGTCTTTGGCATGTGCTAAGTTTCTAGCCCCTGTTGTCACAGGGAGACTCTGTGCACTGGCCATTTGATAAGCTGGGAATCGGTCTTAAAATGTAGGCAGACCTCAGCAGGACAAGAAGGTGTATAATCTGAACTCCGGGTTCTGCATGAGGCAGTCTCCTCTGGGGAGGAAGAATGCTGAGTGGCAAGCAGAAGCAGGGAAGGCACTGTGTGGCTGGTGGAATCCCAGAAAGCAGCAGTGGCAGAGCGAGGAGTGGGTGGGTCTGAGCAGGTCAAGCCTGGAAGCAGCAGCCAGTTGCCCCAGGGCACCAAGGTAGGTGGGCAAGCATTGGATGGCTCTCTGCTTTGAAGTGACAGGTGGCCCTCTAGGGCATGCGTGGCTGAGCACTTCACAAGGAAGGGGCTCGGAGGGATGGGGATGGCCTTGCTTTGAAGGAGGAGGTTATGATGGGGTGAGAGCAGCCAGGTTTCAGGCCAGGGGGTTGGGGTCACTGGGGCAAATAGAGCATGAGGGCGAGGTGGAGATCTTTCTTATAACTCAGTCTCAGTTGGCTCCTTTTAGTGAGGACAGAGCACTGGGGGCCTCTCACTTGCAGCAGGGAGGCGGAGAAACTGGCCCCGGGTTACTCCAGTTGCCATATTCCATTGCCAGGCCTGGCACAGCACTGCTTTTGTCCCTGGGGGCTGGACGTGGTAGGATTTCCCCTGGATGCTGCGACAGAAATGTCCCCTTGGGGGAGTGAAAGCCGGCAGGTGCCACTTCAGGGCAGGGAGGACTCCCCAGTGGCACCATTCAGTGGGGTGCCAGCCGGGCAGCAAGGCCAGGCTCTCCTCCTCGCCTTGCTCTGGCGCACCACCTGGTCTGTAAAGAGATGCCTTGGTGCGCTTCCTGATTGATGGGGCTTCGTGGGGCCCATGCCCGTAAATCATCGATGATGCAGGGATTCAGAATAATTAGCTGTCATCCCCTCCGTGGAGTACATGAATTGCGGCGTTCTTTGCAGGGTGGATGAGCAGGAGGAGATGTTTTTTCAAGCGTGCCTCTGTTTGGGGATATGGATGTGTACGGCGTTCTCTTCTGCTCCCCCTCCTCATAGCCATAAAGGGTCCCGATAATGTTTCATCCTGAGGGATTGAGGGCTGCAGGCGATGCTGGGCGCCTTTATCCCTGCCTGACTGGCAGGCTGTGCATGCACCTGCTCTTGCATTGCGTTATTAACTTCACTTGCTGGAGCTCTTGGTTTTGGCTGGCCGGGTGCAGGCTTGGGAGGGCGGGGGCAAGCGAGCTCCATCCCAGCAAGGTGCTTCTGGTTCATCCCATGGAGAACATGGGGCCTTGGAATTCAGCACATGCTGGGCTCAAAGGAAAACGCTGCACCCCAAGCAGCCAGGTTTCAGGCCAGAGCGTGTGCCAGATGCAGGGTCTGACTCTGGGGCACAGGTAGCAGAGAGGATGTGTCTCTGGATTTATTTGATTTATATCCCACTTTTCTTCTATGAAAGAACTCAAAAGTGTCTGACTTAATTCTCTTCCTCCTGCATGCAATCTCTTCCCCACAACAATCCTGTGAGGCAGGCTGGGATGAGAGTCTGTGCCTGACTTAGAGTCACTCAGCAGGCTGCATGGCTGAGTGGGGACTGGCACCCAGATCGCCTGAGCTGCAACCCTGTGCTCTTAACCACTGCACCACACTGCTGTAACCCCTTCCCTCCCTGCCAGACATCCTACACTGAAGAAGCAAGCCTGGAGTGACTGCTCTGTTCTTTGGCTCTCCTGATCTGACAAAGCCTTATCAGTGGTGACACCTGATCAGTGGAATCCCCTCCCAAAATATGCTCTCCTGCATTTGTGTTTTTGGCAGCCTGTCCCCCAGGCATTGCATGAATGGTTCTTGATGCTTCTGGATCACACCTTTGTCGGTCTATTGTTTCAGTTTGGTTTTATGGGCTGGAATAGTTTTATCCTCTGCTGTGCCTTTTCTTGGTTTTTCTCTGTCTTGTGGTTGCTCGTTTCAGTTACTGTAGTTTATATTTTTGAATGCATGGCAGGCCCTCTTTCAGCTTCCTGTGTGCTGTCACCAGAAGCCATCCCTGGAGTTATTGACAACACTGAAATACCACTGTGGGCTACTCTGGTGATGGCGGCATTCAGGAAAGCCTGGAAGGACCGGACCTTTGTTTGGGGGACTTTGTGCTTCCTGGCTGTTGGTTGCATGAGTGGACCCTTGCTCAAGGAGTACGGCACTTAAAAATGAGTCCCACGCTGTGTTGCACACGAGAGAACAGAGGAATATGTGGAACGAGGGAGGGCACCAGCCTCTCCCCCCCCCCCCACCATGGAAATTGCCTTTGCCCTCTTCTTTCACAGACTGGGGAGAAGAAGGGATTTGGGGACAGTAGCTTCATCTGTGCCAGACCCCTGGCAGTGTGGGAGGGGTGTGGGGCAGGAGAAACTGGTTCCTAGCATCCTGGCCCTTCATCATCATGTGGGCCAAGGACTGCTGCCAGGCTCTTTTTCTGGTCCCAATCCCACAGCTTTAGGAGGACATGGGGAAGTGCCTTCCACAGCTGGGAAACTCTCTGGTTCCATGAGATATAGTTGGGCAGCCACTCCTTGGGATCCGTTATTTTGCAGTTGACATTGGGTGAGATTTGGAGATGTTGGAGGGCACAATAAGGGGATGGGGTTGTGATGCAATGACGGGTGTGAAGTGAAGGAAGCTTTCAGCAGCAGCTCTGGGTTTTGCCCCGATGGCTTCACTGGCCTGCTCAGAATTCCGTTGCCTTTTTTTATTCATTTGAGCACATGTTGAAGCTTCAGTTTGAAGCAAAAAACACAAGCATGCAGACTGTCAAACCATGGCCCCATCACCCAGTGTGCAGCCCGGGCAGCTGGTCAGTACCAGTGAGATCTCTTTACTAATTGTCCATACTGAAATCCCCCCTGACTAGGCCAAGCACTGATGAACGATGTGCCCGATAGCAGTGCTCAAGGGGCTACTCAGTGCCTCTGCTGGGCACGTTGCTCCTGCCGCCGAGCCGATTCCTCCACCGAGGCCACAGGCTTGGCATGCGTCTGGCTGCAGCGGGAGGCAAAGCTCTGCTCCTGAGCTGGGGGGACATTTCGGCCCCGAACCGAGAGAGTCCCTGTTAGTGCGGGAGGCTTGGCTGTCCAGCCCTCGGGACGCTGGTGGTTGCAGCTCTTGGGGACGTGGAGGGAGAGAACCAGAGAGCCAGGCCCTTCCCATGAATGCGGATTCCAGTGTATCTTCTGTAAATTCATCCTGCTCTGGGTTTAGCGTGGTGTGTTCCTTTCACCCTTCTTCTCTTTCTTGGGAGGGTACAAGGTAGATTGTGCTGTCGGACTGATCAACGATGCCTTTATTTATACATTCATAGCACCAGCACTGTGGCATTTCCATTAGGGCTTGATAACTTTACTGTGCAGCCGCAGTTTCTGCAGCGATGATCACAAATCTAGGTGCTGGTGCCGATCTAGACAGCCAGCTGGTGGCAGGAGTCGGGCAAAGAGGCGGGAAGGGTGCCCTTTCTTTGCTTTCTGCTTCCTCAGAAGAGTGGATGATTTGCACTGTGCCTTGGCGTGCCTGCGGGGAAACGGACGCAAAGTGCTGGCCTGCCCACTCTTTCACGAGGTGTGGGTGTGCTGGAAAGGGCCTTGGAGGAGCCGGGGCAGCAGCCAAGAGCGGAGAAAGCAGGTGCACAGTGGCGAGAGCTCTTGAGCCATTCGCTGAGCAGTAATGCTGGCCTGCGCTTCCTCCCCAGAAATGCGTGTACTGCCGGAAGCAGATGAAGAAGGTGTCGGGGGCCTGCATCCAGTGCTCCTATGAGCATTGCTCCACCTCGTTCCACGTGACCTGTGCCCGGGCAGCCGGGGTGCCCATCGAGCCAGACGACTGGCCCTACATCGTGTCCATCACCTGCTTCAAGCACAAGGCGGCCAACCACACAGTAGGTCTCCCCTACGTTCATCCCACCCCCACCCCAGCTTTTATGGTGGCCTTTTCCCTTCCCTGTATCTTCTCCTGCCTTTTGTAGATCCTGTTTCCCAGGGAGATATCGCTGGGCCAGACGGTGATCACAAAGAACCGGAACGGCCTCTATTACCGGTGCAGAGTGATTGGCATGACGACACAGGTGTTCTATGAGGTCAATTTTGAGGATGGGTCTTACAGCGACAACATATATCCAGAGGACGTTGCCGTAAGTCACACGGGAAGCTGCCCCTTCCCTGCGTTTCCAAGCCACTGCATGGGGTCAGGCTCTTTCCATCGCTGTGCACTGGACCGCCCCTTCCCTGCTGTGTTAAAGTGTGGCATCCAACCCAGCAGAGCCTCGTAGGGTCAGTGGCTGAGGTGGGGTGTCTGGACCCCGCCAAATGTGCCGGACTGAGGACCCCAGGTTGGAGAGGTTCTAGCCATACCGAAAACGTCAGCAAAAGTAAATGTTCTGGTCTTGAAGATGCCGTGAGGCGCTTTGTGCTTTCCTGTTTCTAGCATTACTAAAATGGGATTTAAGAGAAAAAGATCAGGTGCCCACAGTGTGATGTCTTTACCCACCTGGGGGTGAGTGGGAAGGCCTTCTCACATGCACAGGGGCAGGTACCTGCAGCAAGTTGGCGGCCTGCCCTGGATGGGGTTGCACTCCCCAAAACAGGTGAAGAGCTGCGTAGTTCTGCATGAGGCGCTCTCCACGTGCCTGTTTCAATCAGCTCCTTCTTCAGAGCCACGAGAACTGCCATCTTATTCTCATCTTCAGGAAGAGGGTGTGCCTCGGGGAGATTAGCTTTGTCCCTTCACATGTTATGTGAGTCGACATGGAGAACTTAACAGAAAAGACCACCGGGAGCAGGCAGCAGGTGGGCAGGGCAGGGCAGTGCTTGGATGCACACCCACTGCAGTCCCGGAGAGGCACTCTTGCAGAGCATCCATGCACCCTCCCTTCTGTGAAGCAAGGAGGGACCGGACCAGATGTCGTGTAACCCAAGGGATGGGTAAAGGTGGCAAGAGGGCATTTGTCATGCCAGCCCACTTCCTTGCGCCGTTCTTCTGACACTGTTCCCTTCCATGTCTCTCAGAGCAGGGACTGCCTCAAGATGGGACCGCCTGCAGAGGGTGAGCTGGTCCAGCTGCACCTGACTGATGGCAACACATACCAGGCCAAGTTCATCACTGCACACATCAGCCAGATCTTTCAGGTCAGGAAACGTCTGGCTGCTCGCTCTTGCTCACCCTCCTTGCCAGGGTCAGCCACACAAGTCTTTCTGCACAGGTCTCTAACCCGCATAGCTTAAGGAGTACAGCAAAAAATGGGTGATGATGGGGTGAAAGAAAGATCACTCAGCTGGGGCTGCCTGGCCTCGCTGTGTTTCCAAGTTAGGGTGGGGGGTGGCGGGATGGAGGCAGCCAGTCCTGACTGGGAGGCCAGGTTGCGGGGTGTGATGTGAGAGCAGTTTTCAGTCATCACCCAGACGCAGCTGCTGCCTGTTTGCTCTCATCCAAGAATGCAGGAGACAGAATAATGAGCAGGAAGGCAGATGTTGGTTGGACGTGGGGGAAGAATTCCTGAGGATCAGAGCCACCTGACCAAGGTTGCTAGAAGCATTCGCACAAGCATTTCTCAGGATTCCTGCACTGAGCAGGTGCCGGGCAAACTACTGTTGTTTGCAAGGACACTTTCTAGAGGGTTTAAGTGAAATTCTCCCTTTCCCTGCTGCAGGTAGAGTTTGAAGATGAATCTCAGCTGATGGTCAAGCGAGGTGAAATCTACACCCTTGAGGAAGAGCTCCCCAAAAGAGTAAAATCACGCCTGGTAGGTGTCTGGGGGTCTTCCCTTGCATGGAAGCAGCTTGAGAATCCAGGGGGAAAGATGAAACCCCCCTTCTAAGTTCTCCCTGGCTTCAAAGCAAGTCTGACAAGTTAAACCTAGCAAAAGTTGTCTGTACAAGCAGCAGCAGATGCAGTGCCCGCATCCCTCCGCCCTGGTCAGCGCAGTGGTGGAAGCTGGAGCGGCTTTCTTTAGGGTTGCCCTGCTGGGAAAGGAGCACGGTGCAGCCCTTTCCTCCTGAGGGGTGAGCGAAGGGGGCCCAGAGCTCCTTTGTTCAAGAGCGTTCTCTGCAGCTCATCTGCTGGAGGGATGTACAAAACCACTGCGCGGGGGGGAATCACAGGAAATGATGATGTGACGCCGTTGCTACCCTGGCACTGGCCCCGGCAACCCTTTCGTGTGGCTTCGTTTTTTAAAGGGAGGTGTTGGAACCCAAATGCCATCCAGAGCTGTGGCACACACACCCTTCTGTTTTAGGTTTTTTATGTTTGCCCTTCACATCAGGGGAGGGTGGATGGCCTGTGCAGTGAAAAGGCCCGAGTGGGTAAGAATGGAACTGGGGGAGTCATGCCACCAGTCCGTCTTTCACAGCGTGGCCTGCTCTGAGCCCTGCAGATTTTCCCCCAGGGGTCTTTCTCAGCCCACTTTGGAGATGCCAGGGCTGGAACCAGAGTGCACTTGTATGCGGGACAGGGCCTCTCCCAGCTTGCCTGCGATCCTCTTCTGTAGCTGTCCACATGAGTCAGGCTGGGAGGATTGCTGCTTCTGGCTCGGATGCCATCAGCGCCTCTGCAGTCAGTGTTGATCTGGTGGGCATGCAGCGGTGCTTTTGAAATGCAGGGGCATGAAACGGGGAAGAGATCCCCCCGCCCCGTCTGTGGAAGACAGTGCTCGGGCAAGAGGGGGAGGTGCTTAATCAGGAAGAGCGCTGTTAATGATAGGCGTGCTTCAGTGCTGGAAGAAGGCTGTGGAGTTGCCCTTTTTCCAGATTGCAAAAACAGTTTGGGAAGCACCAGAAATGGGGAACAACTTTGGAAGAGGGCAGCATGGAGAGACAGCAGTGCAGTTCCCTGACAGACAAGCGGAGCCATGGAGCGCGAGGTCCCTGGTGCTCAGATCAGTCAGGCTCCCTTTCTGAGCCCAGGAGCAGCAAGCCCAGAGGGTCCTGGGAGCCCCAGGTGCTGTGTGAAGGGACAGCTTCCTGGCTTCTAATACTCTGTGGCCTTTGGGTGTGGTGCAACAGTCCCTTCCGAATGGCTCTGCCTGCTCTGACCCTTTGGGCCACACATCGCCTCTTCCGGCTTTCAAGAGCCATCTGTGAATGGACAGCCTCGGCTGGATGTTTCCCAGCAAGCTGTCTGGCCACCAAGCCTCTGCTCACATCTGCTTTGATGCCAGTGGTGGAGGTGTTTCAGACTGGAGTTGTGCAGTTCAGGGCCATGAGTTACCATAGGCCAGTGGGCTTCTTTCAAAGCAAAGCTGCTGCGATGGCTTGACCCAGAGATCTGTCCCTAACCAGGAGCTGCAGCAGCTCCCCTGGGAGGGAAGGTTCCAGCGCTGGAGACTGTTTAGCTTTGGGAAATGGCAAATGAGGAAAGTGCTCAGAGTCATGCACATGGTGGGAAAAGTGGGCAGGGAGATATTCTCCGCCTCTGTGATGCTGGGACCCCAATGGCCCCTCCCCTGAAGCTGACTAGGGGGGAGATTCAGGACAGATTAAAAGGATTTCTTCAGGCAACACAGAATGAAACGATGGAACGCTGCTGCATGATCCTGTCATGGCCACCAACTCGGACAGCTTCAAAAAGGGGTTAGACAGATTCATGGAGGACCAGGCTGCCTGTCTGGATGTCACTGTGGCCTTCTGACCAGTGGCTGCAGGATCCAGTGCCCCAGCTGCTGGGGAGCATACTTGGGATTTTGTGGGATTTTCTGCCTGCAGTGAATGCGAGGCAGGATGGACCCCTGATCTGAGCCAGCTCCTCCCTGTGTTTGTCCGGCGGGCTGCCTGCATTCCCCCAACCCACCTGCTTTCTTCTTTCCCCTCTCACCCCTCTCCTTTTCCTATCATCCTTGTAGTCCCTCAGCACTGGGGCTCCTCAGGAAGAGGCATTTTCTGGAGATGACTTGAAAGCCGCCAAGCGCCCCCGGGTGGGCATCACCAAAAGCCCCGAAGACAGCGGTCCCAGCTCCGACTACTTTGCCATCATGGAGACATTGCTGCAGCCCCCGCAGCAGCCCGGGGGGCCGAGCAATACCATGTTCTAAACAGGATGAACAATGATTTAATTTAAGCAACAACAACAAAAAGCGACTCTTTAAAACATCTTTTCTCGCATCCTTGCAGAAAGTAATTTAAGTAGAAAACTGTGGAGCAAGAGACCTAGCCTTTGTGCAATAACTTTGCAAATGAATTCCTTTCTTCTGTTCTTGGTTTGGACTCCAGAGAAGTTTGTCTTGCTCTGGCTACCTCTGTTTTTCCTGCTGTTGGATTTTTGAGTGGATGAAATCTTCAGGGTGGGGCACAACCCTTCTCCATAAAAACATTGGAAGAAATATGTGCAGATGGACCTGTGACTGAACTTTCCATCTCTTGTTAGTATGTTTTACTTGGTAAAAGCTTTGAGAAGTGTTCGAAACCTACAAAATAACTCCAGTTTTTTGAAATCTCAGCCATTTTTCTCTCTCCTTGCACTTTCTCCCTCTAAGATTTCTTTCCTTTCACTTTTTGAACAAGGTGCTATTTCCCTGACTACTGAAGCAGCCTTCTTTGGAATTCGCAATTTGTGTATGTATATATTATATATACATATATATATTAAAAATTGCCTTTGACATTTTCTATAAAAAAAAAGAAAAACTTTTTTTTTAACAAGCAGGAACAAAATGAAAAAGTGGTTTCCACTTTTTCCCCCTGGAAAATGGCTTTAAAATTAACAAAATGCCCATTCTGGTGCTGTAAGTACAGCAGGACAGAGCAACTTGTAACCCTTCAGATATTTTTGGACTCCGAACTTCCCTTTGCCCCATCCGACATGGCCCAGTGGCTGGGGAGTTGTAAGCCAGCAACATCCGGAGGGTGCTTGGTTGCCCATCCCCACGCTAATTTAAAAGAAGAGAGAGTTATGGCCATCTTGGGAAAGCAGGTTTTTTTGAAATACCTCTTTTCGGGGAGAGAATATTGCGAGAATGTTTGTGTCAAAACAAGAAAGTTTCTCTTCAGTCAAAATGTTTTGTAATAAATGATACCATCACAAGTTACTGGATGGGATTCAGTGTTAACTGCTTTATAAGAGGGCAGGTGGGGTGGGGGGCTTGTCCATTGCTAGTCTTTTTCTTCAGCATGCTCAGGAATTGCATTTTTGTGTTTAGGGAGGTCATGCATCCCTCTCTGCTCCCCCCAAAGTATGAGGAAAGCACGGTTCTCAGTGAAGAAGTCTTAAGTCTATTGGACCTCGCTGGGCAGGTGGTGAAAAGGTGTGAAGTCCAGTGAATTATTTAGTGGGAGAGGGGCTGGCTGGTCATGGCCATTGAGTCAGAGGTGGGAGGAAGCAAAATGCCTGTCGGAAAGGGCTGCCCCACAGAGTTTCCTGCTCAGTTCACGGCAGCTGATAACTGGCAGGCAGACCTTCTGTAGAGGGAGGTGAGGCGTGGTGCGAGGGGCATTGCCCTGCCTTGCCACCTCCTCTGGGCTGCTCCTCCTGCGCAGGAGGCCTTTCATTTCCCCTTTAGAATTACGCATTTTGCGGGTTGCCTGAGGAGCCCTTCCTTGGTCCTGGGTCATGAGGGGGCACGCCTGCCACTTCTGTGGACAAGGGTGCTTTTTGCTGCAGCCTTTCCCGCATCTGGTTTGAGCGTGCTTTGCTTCAGGACTGGGGGAGCCACATGCCCGTCCGGCTTTTCCTTCCCGGCCTTTTAGGGTGCAACCTAAAAGGTCTGTACCGTGGTCTCACACCATGGCTTGTGAGGTGGGTCCGGCCCGCACCGCCGCCCACGCTCGCAGGCAGGAAGGAGGTGGCTCACTCACTTGGAGATGGTTTTGGACTCGCTGGGAGATTTCCGAGTGAGCAAGCTGCCGCTGCACGTGTCTGACAGCTCCTCGCACGTGCCTGATGCCACCTCACCGGCCCAAGCCCCCAGGCACCCCCACCTCACTGGCCCGTGCCGGTCGCCACCGCCTTTCAACTGGCCCCCTATTGAAGTTTGAGGACCCCTGGTCTATACCCTGGGGCTTGGCTTTGCATGCAGAATGTTGGCTGGGCCATGCATAGGCTCCTCATGCAACAGCAAGTCTTCCTCTCGGCCACTCACTCCCGTGGCCATGTGGATTTGCTTCTCCACTTGCTTTGGCCAGGCAGAAAACATGTCCTGCAGTGCAGACCTCCTCTCCACAGCCTTTCCCCCACCTGCAGGAATGGATCTTCATCCAGGCATTCCCTATTGGGAGAGATCCCATCCCCTCCTAGGGAGGAAGACTTTTGGATCTTCCAGTCCGGCTGTTGGCAGGATTACTGGGGGCGGGGGGTTGAAACGTGGGTGCACTTGGAGCCCCTTGGAGTCAGAGGTTTGGAGAGAATTCTTGGGGATGTGAGAAGAACTGGTAGAAGAGCTTAGCCCAGGGAAAAAGCAGCCTGGTGTCCTTGAAATATTTGAACACCACTGCTCCCATTAGCTGTAGCTGCCATGAACTGTGGTTAGGGACCATGGGAGCTGGAGTCCAGCTCCTTTGGAGGGCTGATGGAGACAGCTGCCTTGGTGCTCCAGGACATCTGAGACTGCCTAGCATTGCCCAGGGAGAACAAGGGAGTGGCGGGTGGATTTGGGGCTGTTGCCTGGCCCATTGCCCCTCCTTGCAAAGCTGGTGGCATCCTGCAGTTGGTGCGTAGACCCCGTGCATAGCTCTTAAACGATGCCCTCATCCCCTTCATTCTCACCACCTCGCATCGCTCAGACAGGGATGTTTCAACGGGAAGTGGCGTAGAAAGACTGCGGATGAAGAAATGCTGTGTCTTAATAAACCAGATCTTGATGCCACGTAATGTTGGAGATACAAGGATTAATATCCCTTGTTGAAGGGATTTTAAAAAGTGTTTGGTCACTTCTGTTTTCTTCAAGGGTATGTGTAAGTGACATTCCACATCTTCAGGAATCTTTAGCCTTTACACAATCTTTACATATCTTTACCCCTGCCTACGTAAACTTGCCACCTCTTCCCCTCTAAAAAAATCTTACCAGTGGGCACTTGCCAAGTTGAGAGTTTCTAAATGTTCTGGACAGGTTTGCCAAGGGTGTGGGTGTGTCTTACTAGCTAGCCCCTCCAAATACCTCTTTCCCCCCCTCCAGATTCACACCTGGAAGATGAAATGGTACAGAAATGGCTTGCTTGTACACAACACCTTTTCAAAGACATTTTGTTTTCTTTTTAATCTTATTTCAACAACTGAGTCATGGTAGTTTTTTAAAAGGGGCTGAAAAAGAGAATGTTGAGCTACGCCATCCTTTTGTCTCAGTTGCCTTTCACTTTGTACGGTGGGGGTAGTGGGCGAGTCGGTGCGGGGATGGGTGGGGAGGGAGTTTCCATTGCACTGATACATGGTGGCTGAAATAGGCCCAGGGTTTAATTCTTTTGTATATGTATCTTCTAAGGTGGGGGGAGTGTTCTCTCACCCGCCCACCCCCATTGGTGACTCAGCAGGCAACCTTGTTTTGTTCATGCAGTGTATGTGGCTTTTTTAGAATGTCTCTTTGCATTATTTTGTTTGTAATTCTGCATCCCCCCCACTTCTTTCCTGAATACACAGTTTTGGAATGATTTTGTAATCTCTTTGGGAAAGGGACATGATGGAGAAGGAACTAGCTCTCCCCATTCCCACCTTTAATATCTTCTGCCATTCCAACCCCTTTCCCACTTACTTTATATTTGTAAGTTGTTTGTTTGATATACCTATATAAAAGGGGGGCATTTCCTGTTACCACGATGCAATTTCCGTTTACATTATTTGATCCCCCCCTTCCCCCCAAGCCAGTTGACAGTCAATCAGCACAACCACAGCAGAGCAACGGACTTCTCTTGCCTGGATTGATGCTTTCAGCCAGATGCACTGAGATGGAAATGCAAATGGAAAATGAGTTTCCCTTGGACTGCAGGGGAGGGTGGGGGACGCAGAGCCTGACCAGAAGAGGCCGAGCACAAAGGACCATCCTGCCTCAGCTTGGTGCCAGTCATGAAGCCTTTAAGAGGCACCTCGGCCTTTTAGAATAGGGAGAAAGCCCCAAATGACAGTGTTAAAAGTTCTGTATTCCCTCAGAGGGAGGGGTGTTGGCTGGGCCCCTGGGACACAAATCTGCATGAAATTCGTATGTGCCAATTTACATAGACATCAGTCCAAGCTTAGTAATAATTGGAGGGCTTTAACTTTCACAGGCAGCAAAACTAGCCAATTTATTGTCCAGGTGACCTCAAATTCTTCCATTGATGGCACCCTGTCCCAGGTTGCCACAAATCAGTGGACCCTCTGCCATTAGAGTTTGCAGTAGTGTTAAAGAGGAAGAAAAAATCACGCCCAACAACCCTGTGTGCATGTCTACAGCCTGTAGGGTCTTCTATTAGCAATTCACACACAGATCTTACTAAAACATTGGCGTTTGCATTCAGTGGAGTTTGAATGTTTTCAGAGCATTGTTCAAGAGCGCTCTTGTGTTGGGTGAGGGAGGGCATAGCAGCGTGTGGGAAGGAGCGTTCACTCTTCTCCCCCAGCTGCCTTCCCCCCGAAAAACCAAATGTGATGCTGCTGGTAAGGGGGGAGACCCTGCCTTGGTCCCAGCGGGCAGTTCAGACCTCTGGAGAAGAGACCCTGGCCGAGAGTCCAGGGACCCCAGCTGGCAGCATCCCTGTAATTTGCTGGGGTGAAGGCGGCCCTGAGCAGAGGTCTGTGCAGGTACTGCGTCTGGGGTGCCAGGCTTCTCTGCTTCCTGTACTGATGTGGGTTGTGCGTGTGTGTGTGGAGGGGGGGGATCTTCTAGGAAGAAGCTTCTGCCAGGCCCATCCACCAGCCAAAGGGGTTTGACCCCCCCTTTGGAGAAGTTGGTATCATACAAGGCCGGTCACTTGCTGCACACAACACCAATCCAAGCAAGAGCCCATGCACCCATTTCTCTTCTCTTTGGAGCCACATAGCCAAAACACTACCAGTTCATTTGATAACATCCCAGGTAACGTTTCAGATCCAAAATCGGGCTGGAGGAATGAAGAATTGCTCAGATCATGATGCTATCTCAAGGCGCCTCCAAGAGTACTCCCAGACTTCTGGAACTGCCCGGGCCATGGGGTTTTGGAGCAAGTCCTCAAATTAACAACTCTAACGCCAAGGCAAACTCGTTAATTCTTCCCTGCACTGGCTGATCAGCTTCAGTTACTGCCAAGGTGCGGCCAGTTCCCTGGATTCCTGCTACGTGGCTGCCAGTTCTGAAGGTGGTCCTTCGCAGGATTTCATTTGGCCGGCTCTGCCCTCCCACACACAGCCAGCAGGCATGGCGCAAGGGGCCCCTCGTGTGCACTCGGCCAGTGGTGGCGCAGCCACCGAAGGCCAGGCATGGTCCAGTGCAGAACAGGATGGACTTGCGAGCTGTTCCCCAGGCCCCCAGTGCTGTTCCTGCTCCGTGTGTTTCTTCGTTGTTCCCAGATTTTCATCTTCACTTCCCGAAAGAGAAAACCTCTCCACGTCTGGCTTCCCAGGCTCCGTGCCTGCGAGCCGCTTTGTGTGTCTGTTGGGTGCCACTGCTTTCCCCATTTTAGGGGCCGGTGGTGGGGAGAGGTGGAAGGTGCGTGAACACTGGCCTTCCAGGGCTCCTTGTCGCTCTGCAACGCCCTCTAATGCATGCCCATTTATTGCCATAATCTGAGCCCCCCTGAAAAAGGAGAGAGAAATGAAAACGCCCACTATTAAATATAATTGTCATTGTGACAGGCCCTTTGTGGGATGGAAAATTTGTGCCTTTCAGAGCTGTCTGTGTGATAAAAGAGCAGCAGTAAAATCAGAATTAATCCTCTGGCAAGAGAATGACATGGTTATCGTCAGTTCGCCGCTAACAACTTATGGCATCTGAAGGGAAAGAGGCCCACACACCTTGCCTAGCAGGGGCTGCGTCAGTGGTTTATTTCTGTTGTTCTCTACCTTGGCCACCCACACCCCAAACAAAATCAGCTTTAGTTTCATGGGAAGTATCTGTCCTCCCACACATCTTTATTCGACGGAAAAGTG